TTAGCTTGACACAGGCTTGAAGTATTTTCTTATTTCTTCCAAACCTTTTCTGTTTTACTCTCTTTTAATTCAGTAGTTCCTATCCTAGCTCCCAACAACAGGGAGCTTTTTGCGTTACTTCATCACCCAAATCCAAGTGGAGCTCCCTAGATCCCTGAATAAGTCATATTTTCTATTTAGAACCAAGATCTGCATTATCTCCTTCAGTTAAAAATTGTACTCATAAAAGGCACGGAAACCCTGTCTGAACTGAAATTCCCTGATCAACTCATGGAAATCCTTTTTGCTTTCTTCTCTTTAGCCTTTGAACTCAGTCTTTGAGCTTTTAAAAATTATTTACAGTGTATGACCTGCTCAAGTAATATATCTTTGCCATAGAATAATGTACAAAGTAAAAGAAGAAAACAATTGCTTACAAGCCTATCACACAAGGGTAAGGGTTATGAGTACTTTGATATATAACTTTCCAGACTTTTTTCTGTGTATATGTTTGTGTGTGACTGTGTTTTTTAAAAAAATATATTATATTACAGATGCTCTTTTATGATTTGCTGTTTTTACTCAACCGTTTGTTTCGAACACCTTTATGTAAATGTACATCTACATAATCATTCTTCATTTAGCCTTTAATCTTGACCAATGTGTTTAGCCTCATACAATGTCAGAGTTGAAAGGGACCTTAGAGATCATATTATCTTATATTTGCTTATCTTATATTTGAGAAGGAAAGTCAAGAAGGGCAGAATGGCTTTTTCAGCACCACGGGTTAGCGAAAGAGCCAAAATCAAAACTGACAACTCCCAGTACCTTGTCCAACTCTCCTTCCGCAACTCCACAGACTCATCCTCTTCCCTCCCAGCTGTGTTCTCCCTTTTTTTTTCTGAAGCTCTCGTATGTCACAACTCTGTCCCACAGGGGATGTCGACCTCCCTTTGAGCTCACATCCTTTATCTCCTGACTCAGGAACTTGTATCTTCTGCCTTCACCTATGCTCTAATATTTCTTTTCTTGTACATTAAAATGAGCATCTCTACAACTTAAATTTTCTTTCCTTGAGCTCCTCCTGCCAGTCAGAAAGGACTCCCAAATCCCTGATAACAAAGAGGATGAGCCAGGGGAGGGGTCTCTCCCAGGAACAAATAGGATTGTGATGAGACGGAAATGAACGGAGAGCATGTCCCCAGATCCCACGTGTGCAGTTGTGAAGATGTCGGTGCTGGTGCAGACAGTTGCACTTAGGGCGTGCTGTTCAGATATCCGGCCCTCACAACTGTCACTCCTGTGCTCCTTTCTCTCAGGAGACTGTGGCCCTCCGGGGAATCCGCCTCATGGCTATTTTGAAGGAAATGACTTCACTAGAGGAGCTACCATTACTTATTACTGTGAAGAGGGGTGAGTGCACACCGTGTTTCAAATGCGAGATCTTCCCCCTTGGCAGCATCCTTCCTGGGAACGACCCAGTCTGCCCACCTGAGTCCCTGGATTTCCTACTGTTTCAGGATTCTGAGCTCATTTTGAGTTTGAGAGCTGCTTTAGTCCACTGCTAGCTCTCCCCAATCCCTGGAAGACAGGCTTATCCCGTTAAAGGATCCTATTTATCCTAATGAAAGTGTCACTTTGCGTTAAGACAAGGAGAAAGTATTGAAAATATATGCGTTTCTGAAGAAACAGAACAACAACAAAACACCCAAAAACATTAAAGAAAATACGGAGGTGCAGAGTATAAACCCTTAAAGCATCCTAATTAAAGTCTAACCTTAATTTAGACCGCCTGGCCACCCACCTGACAGAGCTTCTAGCCTTTTCTTTCCCTTGCCTCAATCTTATTAACTCAGAGTCACGTGGCCTCCCTGGAGTTTCGATCTCATTATACACCTCCAACCGACTTTGCAATCAATGCTCATGTTTTTCTGATTAAAAACTCCTGCTCTTTTTTAGTGCATTCACTAACATTTATTCGAGAGGAGTTTCTAACTTTCTACTCCTTTTTAGAGTTTAGCCAACAGATGCCTTCTTAGATTATTGAATGATAACATGCTTCTTCCCTCACTCTCTCCACCAAAAAGCTGTGTGCATAAACACACTGAGTCAGACTTTCTCACTTCTCTCTTTTATGGGTTGACTCATCACTTGGATCCTCCCTACCCTCCAAGAGAGTGTTTTTACTTTATATTTTTCACACATCGTTTCCAGATGTATTGGCTTACAGGGTATGGTTTCGATACCTTCAATGAATTAATTGAGATGTTTTACGCAAGGAAGGACTTAAGCCAGTATCATTGCTGCTGTGCTCTCCGTCTCTGCTTACCACTCGAGGGTGTGCAGGCTGACAGTTGGTGACCCCATCGCCTGCAGGACCAAGGGGGCGGGGGGCCACCGGCTCACGAGCCCCTCTGTGTCCTCTCTCTCTCCCTTCCTTGGGCAGAATGAATCGGATGAGTATTCTGTGGTCTTTTTTTCTATCAATAATGTCTGTTCAGGTACCGCTTAGTGGGCACGCAGGAGCAGCGTTGCGTCGATGGGGAGTGGAGCGGTGCACTTCCATCCTGCGAAGCTCCCAAACCAGCTCCACGGACCGCTTTCGAGAGGGCGCTTGTAAGTAGGAAGCTCATGTCTGTCCCATTAACCGCCATGTCTCCGGGGCTTGGCGTCGCTGCTGGCACATGCTCCGTAAATTCCTGTTCAGTGTGGGGTGTTTTTGAATGAGTTGGCCTTGGCCTGATTAGAGAAGGGGAAGGCGCTCATAAACTACTAACTGACGTTTTTATACATGGAAGTTCCTATTCGCCACCATTATCACGAATGCCTCCTAAGACGCTGTTGGCGGGAGTTGTCGTCTCATGTGGCATCCAGAGCAAAGTACACAAACTCGACGCCTGCGATTTGGAAGTACTGCTCTGAAACTCTTCTGGGCTCCAAAAAACACTGACCAGATCCGTTTTCATTGAGACTGTTCTTTCAGTTCATATTACTGGGGTAATATTAATAAGTACGCTTAAGCCAGAAAATGTAGATGATTCAGCACGTTGAGGACCCAGATCTTTCCTTAAGCTGGCCTGGGTCTGAGCCCCCAGTCAGGGACCTAACTGCTGCTCGCTGGCTTCAGAGTGTATAGCGGGGTCTCAGCCCGTACGTTGTAACTTAAATTTTTTTTTCTTCAGCTTGCCTTTCAGGAGAGTAAGGACCTTTGCCAAGCCACAGAGAACTTCATGCAACGATTAAAGGAATGCAAATTGACAATGGAAGAACTAAAATATTCTCTGGAAGAGAAGAAAGCTGAGTTGAAGGAAAAAATGTAACATTGTAGCTGAACAGATTGGTAATAGTAATACATCTATGAATAAATTTTCCTCTTGGTTCTGAAATTGGTTTCAGATTTGTCTCTCATTGGGCTGAAATCCAAGTTCACAGTAACCAACTGCAGTTGTATAATGCACTCTGTGTGTGTGTGTATTGTTATTCTTGGAATGTGAAAAAACCAAGAGTGGTGGTTGTCTGTTTAAGACAAGAATTGGTAACATATTAATGAGGAGTGGAGGGTTTAATTTCCTGTCTGTAAGGAGAATGGGGAAGCTTGGATCTCAGCTAAAATGTACATCACATTTTAATATGAGATACAAATTATGAGGCAAAAATTAACTAAAATTTATGTAGGAAAAATTAGCTTCCCATTTTGGGAAAATAGGCTCAAAACAGCTACATCCTTAAAATGACCCACTGACACAGAAGTTGAGTTGTTTCCATTGAGTTTTACTTCATATGTGCCCATGAGTGTTGAACAATCAGTTTCAGTTTAATAGTGGCTACATATGGTGTTTTGTTTTTCCATTCTTGCCATACTTCACTTAGAAGAATGGTCTCCAGTTCCATCCAAATTGTTACAAAAGATATTAGTTCACCTTTTTATGGCTGAGTAGAACTCCATGGTATACATATACCACATTTTATTAATCTACTCATGTATTAATGGGCACTTGGGTTGATTCCACATCTTTGTGACTGTGAATGGTGCTGCTATACATATTTGAGTGCAAGTGTCTTTTTTGACAAAATGACTTTTTTCCTTTGGTTAAATCCCCAGTAGTGGGACTGCTGGATCAACTGGTAAGTCTAACTTTAGTTCTTTGAGGTATCTCCATACTACTTTGTGTTAGGTTTGTTCCAGGTGGGAACCCGAAAAGTATGTATAGGACAGAATGTGTTTAATGCAAAACTTAGGCTTGTAAAACAATAGCTGCAGGAGTCTGGAGAGTTCCGATGTTGTAAATCTAACAGACAACTACAGCCAACATTCCTTCCCCTGCCCCCCGACAGGGATGAAGTTTATCCCTCCCTCTCTCTCCTGATAAGAATGACGTGGGAGCTGAAGGATGGATGTGATTGGGGCAGGAGTCGTAGGAGCTGGTTGTTTGAAAAAGAATTAATTACAAGCAGCTGTTCTGGCCCACTCACTCCCCCTGGAGAAACCTTCTATGAATCCCAAGGCTCTCCCCTTTTCTCTCATAGACGTTTCTTCACCTCCACCCATCTGCACCCAGATACTCAAAATAAACAGCATTTTGCTACATATGAGGTTTCATATGTCTCTTTCTCAGCTCTGGACCTAACACTTTCCATAGAGGTTGTACTAGTTTGCAGTCCCGCCAGCAGTGTGTAAGTGTTCCTTTCTCTCCACATCCATGCCAGCATCTGTTGTTTTGGGACATTTTGATAAAAGCCATTCTCCCTGGAGTTAAGTGATATCTCATTGTGGTTTTGATTTTCATTTCACTGATGATTAGTGATATTGAGCACTTTTCCATATATATGATTGTTGGCCATTTGTCTATCTTCTTTTGAAAAGTTTCTGTTCATGTCTTTTACCCACTTTTTAATGTTTGTTTGATTTTTTTTCTTGCTGATTTGTTTGAGCTCTTTATAGATTCTGGTTATCAGCCTTTTATCAGATGTATAGCATGCAAATATTTTCTCCCATTCTATAGGTTGTCTATTTACTCTTTTGATTGTTTCCTTGGCTGTACAGAAGCTTTTTAACCCCAAAGATTCTGCCAAGAGACTCCTGGAATTGATAATAAATTCAGCAAAGTCTCAGGTTACAAAATCAATGTACCCAAATCAGTAGCATTCCTATACGCCAATAACAGTCAAGCTGAGAATCAAATCAAAGATTCAATACCTTTCACAATAGCAACAAAGAAAATAAACTACTTAGAAATATATTTAACCAAGGAGGGGAAAGACCTCTACAGGGAGAACTATGAAACACTGAGAAAGGAAATAGCAGAGGATGTAAACAAATGGAAAAACATATCATGCTCATGGATAGGCAAAATTAACATTGTTAAAGTGCCTATACCACCCAAAATGATTTAAAGATTCAATTCAATCCCCATGAAAATGCCAATATTATTTTTTGCAGTTCTTACGCTTCGTATGGAACCAGAAAAGACCCCAAATAGCCAAAACAACCTTAAGCAAAAAGAACAATTCAGGAAGCATCACCTCACCAGAGTTCAAGCTATACTACAAGGAAGAAACAAATTGGGAGGCATCCATTTACTAGACTTCAAGCTATACTACAAGGGTATAGTAACCAAAACACCATGGTACTGGCACAAAAACAGAGACATAGACTTCTGGATCAGAACAGAGAACCCAGATACAAAACCATCCTCCTATTGCCATCTGATCTTTGACAAAGCTGACAAAAACATACGCTGGGGAGAAGAAATCCCTTTCAATAAATGGTGCTGGGAAAATTAGATAGCCATATGTAGAAGATTGAAACTGGATCCACACCTCTCACCTCTCACAAACATTAGTTCATGTTGGATAACAGACTTAAACCTAAGACATGAAACTATAAGAATTCTAGAAGAAAATGTTGGAAAAACTCTTATAGATATTGGCCTAGGCAAAGAAGTTATGAAGAAGACCCCAAAAGCAATCACAACAACAACAAAAATTAACAAATGGGACTTGATTGAATTAAAAGAATTGCTTTTTAAGGGCAATCTCTTGAGCACACAAATCTTAAGCTTTAGGATTAATAGCTTAATTGGATGATGTCAGGGATGGGGATCTTCCTAGATCTATGTGGAAACAAATATGGCTGACTCTTCATTGCATTTTTCTGAGCAGCACTCAATAACAGACCAACTTCTGGAGGTGGCTGGTACGTAGTAGCAGTGATGGTGGTAGTAGATAACATTTGTTGAGCTTTAAGTGTGTTCCAGGCAACTCAGCACATAACAGGAACTCAACAAATGTTTGATAAATTCCCTACCTTTTGCAATTCTTTGGGGTGAGATGGAGACCAGCACAGGGCAAGACCTCTCAGTCCCTGAACCCCAGGAAAGCCTACTGGACCTAGTGTCTTAGAAAGGGGATTATTTTTGTGGAGTTTGTCTGAACCCTTCAGTATCCAAGTTTTCCAGGCCAGCTGGATTGTATCTTACCTAACTCTCTTGTGTTTACAAGAAGAAAAACAAAAAGAATTCTGGCATCAAATCCAAATTACCTCTTCACTTAGGGGAAATGGTTGGCAGAAGAGGAAAAGAAGTGATTGCAACATGTTATCAAGAATGAGGACTATTGAAGAGGAAGAAGGTTAGGTAAACACTGCTTGCTGTTATTTGTGCTGTTAATCATTCACTGGACCAGTCAAGAGTTTCTGACCACCCATTTCCACCCAGTTGTTCCTGACCAGCCAACCGCATGGCTGGAATTTAGGGACTTTTTGGTGGAGCAATTACCAGCCAATTTCAGGGCAGTATGATAAATTCTGATCTGGGGAAAAACCAGGACTGTAGAGAGCCAGGCAGCTTCCTTCCTTGAGAAGCTACCCAAGGCATCACCATAGAGTCTCCTCCTTCCTCAGCTACTGCAGGTCAGTGGACTATTAAACACTTGCGGTAGCTTGGGGGAAAGGCTGGTGGTTCGGCCCTTTATGGAGGGCATGATTAGAAGGATAAGACAGGGACAAAAACTTGGGGGTGTTTTCAGCAGTCTTTTCAAGAGTACTGCCTTAGGGCATTGTGTAACTTGAAAAGTACTTTTAACCCCTTCTAAGCCTCAAGTTTTTATTATAAATGGAAGAACAATAATGCACTCTAATAGAATAAACTAAAGCAGAAAAGGTGTAATATGTTGTTTGTTATTGTATGTAAAAGGTGTGTTGGTTTGTCATCTGTTACCATCTCCTCATATAGGGGAGTTGAGGCAGGAGGTAAGCCAGACTGCCCGAAAGGGTTCACAGGAAACCTGGTTTTCATATATCCACATTCTGAAACTTGGTGCAATATTTTTGGAGATTTGATTAACCCCTCTGGATCGCCTCCATTATTGTCAGTAAAGACCTTTAGATTTGGTAGAAAGAAGGAAATTGGCCAGCTTCCAGGCAGTCTTTGAAGCTAGAAGGCATTACCATCCTCACCTCCTTCTTCTCTCTCACTTTCTTAATTTGATGATGTTGATTACCCTTCCTTTTTGAAATTCTCTTCTCCCTTGGTTGGTCAGATTACAGTGCTATTTCGGTCCTCATTTTAATTCTTCAACTACTTGTCTCTTTGCTGATTCCTATTCTGTCCCTAAATATGGTAGCATCAAGAGAATAAAAGGTATACAGAATAGGCAGGAACGTCAAAGAAGGTTTGTATTAAGCTTACAGATACATTTGAACGTAACATGAGCAAAGAAGGAAGGAGCTGGGGATAAAAAGAGATTCTGGGAAGGGAGAGGAAAGTGTGGCAGCAAGTTCTTTCTGAAGTTTGCAAGTGACGTGATTGGGAGCCCAGGTATGAGGAAGGAGAGAGATACTCTGCCTAATCCGAGAGACAAATATTATTGTTTCCAGATGTACCTAAATTTTAAAAGGGGAATTTAGACAAAATAAATATGTTAACTTACAAAGTAATCTCTAATGGAAGGAGAAATTTGGGGACTGAAGAGTCTCCCCCTGTCTCTCAAATTGTGCTACATTGGCATGTGCTGATGGCATTTTTCACAAGAGACCCACCATGTTGGCTAAAGTTCTTGAATGGGTTTCATTTCTGTTGGAATTTAAAAGATGATGAAGTCATTGAAATGTGAGGGCATGTGCTAGTCTCAGCTTTTCAGTGAGCAATTACAGAATTGCAGAGTTTGTAGGGAATAAAATAGATCATCTAAGTTTAATGTCACCATTTTAGAGATGGAGGAAACTGATAGTCAAGAATCTGATATAGCTTCTTTGAGATCACAGAATTAGATTATGGTATTACTGGGACTCAAACTCAGGTCTCCTCCACTCACAAGGGCTAGGCTCCATGCCCGGCCAGTTGAGTTCTGCTGAGGAACAACAGGAGTAGTCATGGTGAACTACAAATGCTGCAACCAACGAAGTGAGTCATGGCGCATCCTGACAGTTAGTGGAGGAAGTCTAATCACTGCATTATCTCTCTTCAAAATTGACAAAGTATTTCACACACATCATTTCATTTGGTCCTAAGTGAGACAATCATTTTCGCTCTGAACATAAAAGTGAATTGAATTCATTAATTTTACACTTATTGGATAACTATTACAGGCCAATTACAATACCAGGTTAAAGATAGACATTAGAATAAACACCTTCCTTGTCTTCAAGGAATTCACCATCTATTTTAGGAGACGGAAGTAAATAGATGGTTACACACAATGTGGTGTTACAATCCAGGTGTCAACAAAGTACTAGGGGAACATAGAAGACGCTGGCATTTCTTGGTGGAGTCAGGCAATTCTTCACCAAGGAGGTAACATTTGATCTGAATGGTTAATAAAGGAGAAGTTGGAGGTAAGCGCCTTCATGCATGGGAGACATTATATGCAAGTGTGCTCAGGAACTGGAGTATAGGAGAGAGAGGCAGATTCTAATGCTGCTGCTATCCCCATTTGACAGAACTTGGTGATTCTGAATATGGAAACGTGGCATGCAAGAGAGAAGGCCAGGATGACTCAAGTTTCTAGTCTGGGCGGCTGGGTGGAGATTGTCACCTTAGCCGAGACAGAAAGCACAGAGGTCTAGTAATGTTGGAGGAAGATAGTGAATTTAGTTGGAAATATGTTGGATTCAAGGTGCCTGGGAGATATAAATAAAGTGGTTGGAAACATTGAACTGAACTTTGGGAATTAGAACTTAAATTTTCTTAAAAGTTTTTTTTTTTACTTAAATGAGAAATCTAACAGAGTCAAAAGTTTTAGTTTATTGTCAGGACTGCAGGTCAGGAGGAAAGTGTAATAATTACTTTTGAATTTGCAAAGAAAATTCACAAGTACTTATAACTTTTGGAAAACAGAAATTTTCATTTAAATATTAGACAAAAAATAATTTGCTAAGATAACCAGTCAGAATTATAGAGTTTTCTAAGGTTAAGGGTTACTTTCAAGTGTCAGAACAACAATCTTCTAAAGTCCAGGAATGACTCCTTTTTAGAAATAATGTTTGCAAGGTCAGTTTTAACATGTAGATATTATCTGCTTTTTTGCAGCTGCAGGGGAAGAGAAAATATGTCCTTCTTATCTTGCCAAGATTTCTTTCACTGTGTTTAGAAAGGCCTACAGATTTAAGGCTAAGCACTGGAATTCTACTTGTTACTAACCAGAGTAAAGACAGACCTGCATGGCTTAACATTTACATATAGGAAGGAATCAGACAGAGTAGGATAATTATTAACAACTGAGTTTATGGAGCATGTAAGTTTTTGCATGTACAGGAGACAATTAGGCCCAGAGGTCTGTGAGTGATTTATGTGTGATGATCAAAGTCATGGAGGTGGATGAGTTCCTCCCAGGAAGACAGTGGAGGGCGAGGCCAGAAGAACACCCAGGACAGCCCCTGGGAACACTAGCACCTCTCTGTTCCTGGTGTCCCCTTGGATGTCATTGTACCAAGGGCCACAATGAAGAACAGACGAAGGGCTTCCAGCCCCAAGTTCACTGGGCATTTGTCTGCACTGGGCAGTAATTGAAGTCCCCTGGTGGTACAGCCCCCCATTATGATAATTTTAAGTCATTACGATGATGTTCTTTTGACTTCTAGGAGTTCTGCTACTGGCACGATGACATTCCAGCTCCAACTCTGTCAAACTCTTCCCTAACATTTCTTTTGCATGTTTCCTGTGAGCCATCCCTGCACATGTCAAACCTCTCTCACCAATTCTGAGAGATAATTACAGTTATCATTCTTATTTTATAAAAGAGGAAACAGGCTTAGAGGAGCTGAGTATCTTGCACATGGGTACTCACTTCCCATAGGGTGGGACCAGGATTCAAACTCACACAGTCTAGGTGTGACTCCAGAGCCCACCGTGCCCAGAGTCCTGGCCACATTGTCCTCCTCTGTTCCTAGCTCTGTGGCCGTGGCCTTCATGTGAGGCTAATAAAGGGTTGAAATAAACTTCCTCAGCACGGTGTAGGGTCTGAATGTGTCTGTATTTCCTGTCGTAACCTGTGGAAGGAGGAGAACTAGTTTTTGTTTATTCCTTCTCCCTTTCATTGTCTTCCATTAACTGGTTGATGATATGATGGCTTCAGGTTAAGGATGGAAAGAACATAGACTAAAATTGCTCGGGCCAGCTCTCATTCAAATACAGATGTGCCTTGCTTTAAAATCAGTTAAAATCTGACCTTGACAAAGCAAACACTATAAGGGTAGATATGGATGTGGAACAGTATTATTTTTCTTGGAGACATATTTTAGCACCAGGTGCTTTGGGGCTAAAATTCAACAAACAGGTGGTGACCCCTGTAGCTTTGTGAGGCCCAGTGCTAGATACTCGCTGGGGTTGGAACGCACAGAAGCCCACTCTCTAACTGCAAGGATTACGTGGTCTAGTGGTGAAGACAGACTTCGAATGTTACTTACAAACCAAGTCACAATTGGAGTTATCAATACTAAGTTGCACTTGGCATGTGGAGGCTTGCCTGGAGGATAGGAGGGGGTGTTGGAGAAGGAACTGGAAGAATGAGTAGGAATTAAAGAAGAAAAGGGGAGAGGGCAGAGGATGTGGGCGGGAGTGGGAGGTAGGAAAGTGTTGGGAGCTGTCCGGGATTCTGGTTGTCCAGGACAGAAGGAGCATGGAGGTCAGGCCAAACTACGGAAAAGTTAGTCACCAAAAGCCACTGAGTGAATGCCAATTCCTGAAGGATCAGTTCCCTGAAATCAATTTGCTAAATGGATATGGGCTTTGTGTGAATTATGGACACGTGAGAGTGTAGAACCATCTGGATCTAACGGAGATATCGAAATAAAAGATAAAATTAAATATTTCATTGAGTTGACTTCATCTGTTCCTTCAAAGACAAGGACTATTTCTAATGTAAACTCAGGATGTATTGAGTTCTCCAAAGGGGTTGGGAGGTGGTGGTGAAGAATAAAAACATCCTTAGTAATTTTGCTTTAAACAAATCTTTAAATTGTCTGATTAAAAAATGAAAGTACCTTTGTCACGTATATTTTTTCACATATATATATATATATACACACAAAATCATTTTTTCAGAACTGCAAATTACTCAATGGTTTACTACCTTTGTCAACGGTTCTCATGAGGAACTCCCGACAATACCATAAGTATATATAGTGATGCAACTCTTTTTCTCTATCTCATCATTTTCCCGGCTTCTTGTTTTGTTTTGTTTTACATTTGTATCCCTTTGCTCTAAGTCCTTTGCCATTTCCGTGTTCATATCATCTGGCCAACTGCCATAGTTTTCAGGGTCAACCCAGCCATTTCTCTCCTCTGTCCCCTTCAATTTTTGATCATGAGTCCATCTGCCATAGACTTCTTAGCTTAAAAACAAACACACACATAAATCAAAAACAAAACCCCAAATGAAAAAAAATGGCTCTTTATTCTCCAAAGAGTTAAGACTTAAGTCTTATAAATTCCTCAACTTGGCCTTTACATCCCATTCAGACTCATCTCCTTAACAACCATCTCCCCATCTCAGACACTCCGCTGACCCCCAGCCAAATTGAAGTATTGTCTACTGGCCCCCCAACGCGTCCTGCATTCACTCTCTTTTACAACATGCAGTCTCAGATGCCGTCTCCTGTGTGAAGCCCCCTTCCGCTCTCCACTCGGAATCTGTCTTTCTTCTGAGCGTGGTGCTTCTGCAGAGGCCAAACCTCACTGTCTTGTGCTATAACATTTGTGCTCATGTCTTGTTTTCCACTCCAGGCTATAATTTCCCTGAAGGCATGGATCCCATAGCATTTATTCTAGTGCTTTCTATCAAGTAGGAATTCATTAACTGTTTATTAAATTAAGTTCTTTCAGCAGAAAAGTGTCAGAGAGGCAGCAGCTGGTCATGTTTCTCCTAAGAGCTCCACAGGGGACCCTTCGTAGAAAAGGGGAGATGGCGGCCTGGTCCTTCTCTGGGCTGTGGAAAGTCTCTGATCCGACTCTGTTCCAGATGACCTTGGTCGCTGCTCTGCTGGCCACTGTTCTTGGTGAGTGATGGGAAACAAGCTCAGATCGGCAACCAGCAATTGAGATCACCCACACATTCGCTTTTAAGGCTCAAAAAGTGATGACTAAAGCTTCTAGCTGACATCTGACTTCAGTAACAAAGGGTTATTTGACCAGCTGGAATATGGAATAAAAAATACGGACATTTGCTTTATACATAAAAGAGGAAGTTTTCTAGACATTTTTCCTTACAATTTCTTCCCCAGAAATTTCCAAAACGATCTGTCTCCCAACCATAACCTGAAACAATCTCTATTATCTGCCTGTCTGCCTGAACACTTTTCACTGCTTGTGGATTTATACAGAATGAAGGGGTGAAGTGTATACTCCTACCAGCGTTCTTAAAAATCAATGACTGTACCTGATTCTTGCAAAGAAAGCAGAATTAAGATTTTTGTGCCTAAAGGGCTCCAGGCTTCTTTTTCCATATCATAAAAAATCCAAAAGGTGTAAAAATTATAAATTTCAAATGTTATTATTACCCATCTCCCAGCCACCCACTTTCCCTGCCCCAAGGCAACCAATTTTATGTAATATTATTTGTAATAAAATATTAATAATATGTTTCTGTTAAGGCAAACTCACAGGAACTTCTAGCTTTGCACAGATGCATCTAAGTCAGCAGATATGGGGAATCTGATAGGCTGATGACATTCATGTCTATCATACTTATCAGATAAATTATCTCATATATAGTAAGAAGGGATTAAAATTTCCACCTTTTATTATTATCATTTATCATTGTCATTATCATGTATCAGCAAACATATATTACTGATCACTCACTGGATTCACTGAGCCATTCATTCATTGAGTTATGATTTTTCTTCATTAGAGGAGAAAAGAATGGTGCCTATTCTAAAAATTATACTCTTGAAAAATTAAGATGCTGTATCCCAAGGTATAACTGGTGGTGTTTCTTGTCATTTTGGTGTCCAGGCAGCTGTGGTCCTCCACCCATTTTACAATTTGCTTCTCCAGTAAATCAGCTGAACGAGACAGAGTTCCAAACTGGAAGTGTTGTGAAATACAACTGCCGCCCTGGCTACAGTAGGACCAGTTCAAGTCAGATTCTTACCTGTAGACAGGGCCAATGGAGCTATAGTACCTTCTGTGTCAGTAAGTATCAACATTTATTTTTTTATTTGTGCTTTTTCTATCTTTGGAAAGTTGTCTCAGAAACTAAACTTCCTGAATCTTTAGCCACTGAGAAACCATCTGGTTTGTCAATTCCTGATTTCAATGTACACACGTATTCCACAGGCACAGGTACCTTCCCTAACATCTTCCTCAGGTCTCATGTAGCCCTGTGGTACCCAGGATGGCTATGAAGGGCAAGGCCTGAGTCCTCAATTTACATACCAGGTATAGATCTCAGGACAGAAGACAAAGGTTGTCTGGAGGATACATTCCTCTGAGAATAGCCTGGAGGCAAAGCTGGGTGGGGCAGGGAAGAAGGTACCATGTTGGGCTTGATTCTGCCTAGTAGCTGCTGATCTAGGCACTGAGAACGTGTCCCCAGGCCCAACTTGGCCACCCATCCAGATCCCAGAATCCAGAGACTCAAAACCAAAAACATAAACTCACAGTCAAATCTAGCAAGTATAAAAAATATTACAGTGGTAGCAAGCAGTTTTATGGTCGTAAAACATATAGACTTTAACAATTTTAAAACTAGTTTTATTTATCGAAGATTACTAAAGTCACATGAACTAAAAGGCATCTGAACTGGTTTCTATTTTCCTGATAATATGTTTGAATGAAGTGCTTTTCTTTGACCATTAATTAGAGCTCTTTTATATATTTTGGTAGTGAAATATCACAGACACATGACACATATAAACACATAGACATACAGACACAAAGACAGAAGCAGATCTTATAGCTTTTATAAAGAATTTTCATTTGCCCGCCTTTAAATAGTTTTCTTTTTCCCATTTAGACGATTAATCTTTCAACAACCTGTTTTATTGCCCTAAGCAATTATTAGCTAATTTGCCTTTTAAAAAGATGACTCTCAGGTGAAACAAGGTAAAAAATTTATATCTCGAAAGCACAGAGCTAAGAATTTAGGCCTAAATATTGTACCACAATCTGCTTATACTAAGAAGAAAAAAGGTTGTCTGCAAAGGCCCAGTTAAAACAAGGTGGCCAGAAAAAGCACCTTAAACAAAGGCAAGGCTTGTTACCTAAATTTTAAACAAAGGCAAAAATTTCTAGCCACGCAGTCCTCTCTCTCTCTCTCTCAGACACCCTTACAAATGGAAATTTCCTTTATAGATATAAATTTCTTTTCCAAAAGGGTTTCAAGATGGCCAATTAAATGCCAGGAAGGTGTGTTTTAGGTAGATGGTCTTTTTAACATAGCTACTGTTTCTTAGCTAAAATTGCTGAGTTCAGGGTAGCTCCCATTAAGGAATGGGCGAGAAAAAAGCATTCTCTATGCCTAGACTCAGCACGGATAGGTCTGAAAAAGAAGCAAGGCTAGTTGACCTGAGGGCCTCCCTTTTGTAAACACTTTATCCAGGGTAGCTTTCTTTTTGCCTTCGGGGCGGAATAGTAACTATGCCAAGAGGCTAGCAGATTTAATTTTTCTTGTTAATTAGTCATTTAAGCTTTTTATTTGCCTTTTGTAAAGAGACTTTTAAAAGAGAGAATAAAAATATTGGAATCTTTTTAGAAGCTTCTGCACATCAGTGAGACTAATTCAGGGGCCCTCATTTTCAAATGGACTTCTTAAAGTGCAGTGTTGTACATTTGGAACAGTTCCACTGTAATTATAACTTGTCTTTAATAAGATTTTGCCATTTCTGTAAGCGTTTGCTGCTTCTGGGGCCTAATACTTAATACATGCATAGGTAGGAGTAGCCCGAATGTAGAGTTCTCAGTTCTTCCGAAATTAAGAATCCCATTTTTACCTTGAATCTTAGCTTTGGCTCTCAGATCTCCATGATCAACTTAGCCAATGATTTTTTTGTGTGCGCAAGACAAAGAGACAAAGAGAATAGAACACAAAAATCCCTGTGAATTCCTGAAAGTGGGAGTTTGCACCCCCTGCAATATTGCTATTTACTGCCAGTTTTCATCTGACCCAATCAGATATCTGAGGCCTCTAACTGGATCCAAGCCAGTTAATAACCAGATCCGATCCAATTCTGGACCCAGTCCAGTTTCTGTCATAACTTCTGAATCCAGTTCAGATAAAAAAATTTGCTCAAACAAACGTGGAGAGCTCAAAACACAATTTGTGGGGCTTTGGAATCCGAGAGAGAACTTACCACCCCCAGTCGCTGCCAGAGAGCAATGGCGACATTGGGCCTGGCGAGGACCACACTTGGCAGCTTAATGCTCCCAGTGGTTGCTGGAAGTTCTACTTCAGATCCCACTTTCTGACACTATCTGTTAAAAGAAAAATCTTGGGCAAATTACACTTAACAGAGTTTAATTGAGCAAAGAATGATGCGCGAATCGGGCAGCTTCCGAACAAGAACAGGTTGAGAGATTCCATCGCTGCCGTGTGATTAAAGATTTATGGACAGAAAAAGGAAAGTGATTATAGGAAATGGAAGTGAGGTACAGAAACAGCTGGAGTAGTTACAGCTCAGTGTTGTCTTATTTGAACACGGTCTGAACATTTGGCCACCTTTGATTAGCCAAAACTGGGTGATTGACACAGAAGTAGGTTACAGCCTGTTTACACAACCGGTTAGGTTACAGTTCACCATGTGCAAGAGAAACCTTTAGGCTGAACTTAAAATACGTGAGGAGGCCGGTTTAGGCTAACCTTAATTTAATATAATGCCATATCTGTGAGTACTCGGATCACTAATCATCATTTAATTTTTTCTCCCAGAGAAACGATGCAGAAACCCAGGAGATTTACCTAATGGGAACGTGGAAATTAAGACAGATTTCTTTTTTGGATCACAAATCGAATTCAGCTGTTTAGAAGGGTGAGTGTGAGGTAATCTAGAAACAATTCTTTTAAATCAATTTTTAATGTAGCTAATGTGTTCATATTTCAAAATTTAAAATGATGTAGAAAGACAGACATTGAGAATTCTTGCTTCCCTCCTATCTCTATACGCCCCGTTCCTTCCCGTCCTCCAGCAAGGATCCATTTTTTATTGGTTTCTTAGGTGTCTTTCTAGTGTTTCCTTATACAAATACCAGCTAAGCAATTAGCAAATGTTCTTATTTTTTCCCTTTCCAGTAACAAATGTAGTTTTGAATCTTGCTTGGTTGTTTACTTATCAATATATACTGGAGATGTTTCCCTGTTTGTACATAGAGACCTTCCTCGTTAATTTCCTTTTACAACTGCATAGAATTTTATGTGTCATGGCTTAATCGTCCCTTTGATGTATCCACGGGTATTTCTCATCTTCTGCTACTCTGAACGATGCTCTGATGCATTACCATGAACCTATGTCATTTTGTACATATGTAGTTACACCTGTAGGGTAAATTCCCAGAGGTGGCCTTTCTGGGTCGAAGAGTACATACATTTGAAAATTTAAAACATATTTTTGTCAGATTGCTCTCCTTAAGTAAGCATCGCATGGTTTTGCAAAGTATGCAAATACCTATCTCTCCTTAAACTCTCCAACTGTGTTCTCAAACTTTCAAAAACATATCAAATTTTTGAATTTTTTCCAATGTAAGAGGTAAAAGTGAGATATCCTTATAGTTTCAATGTACATTTCTCTTATTATCAGTGGAGTGTATTTTTATATGTTCAAGACTTGTTCGTATTTATTTGTGAACTGTTTGGCATGTCTATTGCCTTTTTTTTTTTTTTTTTTTTTCGAGACAGAGTCTCACTCTGTTGCCCGGGCTTGAGTACCATGGCGTCATCCTAGCTCACAGCAACCTCAAACTCCTGGGCTCAAGTGATCCTTCTGCCTCGGCCTCCCGAGTAGCTGGGACTACAAGCATGCGCCACCATGCCCGACTAATTTTTTCTATGTATTTTTAGTCGTCCGATTAATTTCTTTCTATTTTTAGTAGAGACGGGGTCTCGCTCTCGCTTAGGCTGGTCTCAAACTCCTGAGCTCAAACAATCCGCCCGCCTCGGCCTCCCAAAGTGCTAGGATTACAGGTGTGAGCCACCGCGCCTGGCCGATACGGATTATTTTAACAAGATTTTTTTGTACAAATTTTTTTCTGGGGGCCTTGACTCCCTCCCTGTCTCTAGTGATAGGAATGTTTTTTTCCTTCTGGTACACGGAGGCACCTTTTCCTGTGGGAGTTTTATCTCCTGCTTTCAGGAAGAAGTGGGAGATCCTAGTGTCCTTCTTACATCTTGTTGCTTTTCAAGTGCGTTTAACTCAAAACAATCTTTATGCTGAAGTGTCATATTTTGGCATATTCTTCTACCCTGTCTTATACTTCCCCATTCATCTTAGTCTTTTTTCTTGTTTCTCCAGGAGTGTTTCAATGTTTTCCTTGCATTGATTTTGCATTTCTTGAAGAGTTCAAACCTAGGTATTTTATTTTTGCTACTTCAAAGGGGTCTTTTTTTTCCATTATGTAGTCTAACTGGTTGATTATCTATTTATTTATCTATCTATCTAATCTATCTTTCTATTTACCTACCTACTATTGATTTCTGCATGTTTGATATCTCAGGTAACTTTCTAAATCCATTCATTATTTATAATGAATGGATTATTTATAATTATTTATAATAGTTTTTCAGTTGAATTCTCTTAGGATTGTTGCCACCTAAGCCAAGCATATGGAAGTCAGTGGGAAGCTTCCAACCAGAGATCATGAGAGTTTGGGGTCAGTAATCTAGCCGGTACTCTCAACCAAAGAAAACTGTAGAACACACTGAAGTTGAGTCTTTTATTGTCCTGCGTGAGCTCTGGATGAACTGCATGCCTGACACCTAGTAGATACTCAATAATAGATTAAAGAATGAAAGAACAAACCAACAAACACACACACCTCCTTGCAGTGATGAAATTTTACTAAATGGAGTGCTCAATGGGACGTGATATTATTTCTTCTTTTCGACCTTGAATTACAAATTCTATTTGTTCAGATCCCTTTATCCATTTTAATTTGGGGTAGGAAGAATTCCATTAAAATCTTTGATTCTCTCTTGTTCAGATATATCTTAATTGGCTCGGCCACTAGTCATTGTGAGATTCAGGATAAGGGAGTCGACTGGAGTGATCCTCTCCCACAATGTGTAAGTAAGTAAAGATTCTTTCTGACTTGACTATAAACTTAAACTACCTAAGTAATAAAATCCCTGTGCATCTTTGCCTCTATGTGTACTCTCCACTAGAATTTGCATGAATTTTAGATTTGTAATAATGCCTCCCCTGATTATTTCTTTCTCTTCACTCACTCATATCAGGTGTCATGTGTGACTCCCCTCCACACATCAGCCATGGGAAGCACAGTGGTGGAGACGAAGACATCTACACATACGGCTCCTCTGTCACCTACAGCTGTGACCCCCGCTTCTCGCTCATAGGCAAAGCCTCCATTTCCTGCATGGTGGAGAATAAAACCATAGGTGTCTGGAGCCCCAACCCTCCTACCTGTAAACGTAAGTCATAAGGATGAATTCTCCTTTAAATTGTTTGTTCTCCTTTGTTTAAAAGAAAAATAAAGAATAATTTATTGGGGCTGGGCGCGGTG